CACAGCAACTGGTATTCCCAAGCGGTCACCCATCTAAGTATTGATCAGGATTGACGTTGCTTAATTTCGGTGATCTTACGAGAACTAGAGCTTCAACTTCGTATGGTCGTAAGTCAAGAATGAAGTCAGTAAGCTATAGATTTTTTTTTAATAAGGTTAGAATAACATGGCGAGAGATTAGTCAATGAGGAACGAAACAGGAAATTCAGAAAGTTAATTTTATTTCGAATTGAGCGCACAAGCAGGAAACATGATGATTGAAACAGTATATAAACAATGATAGACATTTTTATGCGTAAGGCTTTTTGTTATCCAGAATGCAGCAGTCGCATTAAAGCTCTGTCGAAATCGACACACAAGGCCCGTAAAGCTAGTAGGGTCGTAGGGACAGCACATATACCTCAGCTGCAGTAGCAGGGGTACTTCCTGCGCAAGATAACTAGAATTCAGAGTTTGCCTTCTCCTAGAATAATCGCCAAAGAAAGCTATATTTACTTCTATCTTTACCTCAGAAGATATAGAGCCATACCTTTCCCATGGCTATTGTAAAGGAACCTAATGAAACCGACTAGAATTCGAACACGGATCTCTGATTCCTCAAATCCGAGCCGCTATCCATTACTCCAGCGCGCCTCCAAATGAGGGTACAATATGGTAAATGTTATTCATAGAGCAACAACTCCGTAGAAGCGTTAATAACTTGTCTGATGTCTCAGGAAGCACTGAAGTCACTGAAGCGAGACGTAATTGATAAAGTTAGCATAATCAGGCGAAACTGTTGGGCAACAAGAGAATAATGAACTCATTAATTAATAAAGCAAACTTAATTTCGCAACTGTTTTGAACAACCAAAGAACGAAGGCGTTAAATCAGTATGTAATTAATACAATGGGCGTGGTCTGGTAAAAGTCCTGAGCAAGGATATTGTCATGAACTCATCGCAGAAGTAGGTAATTAAAAATGTGGGCGTTTACTAGTAGGCTGTGTAAGGCAGACAGTGTTACGTCGTGCGTTGTCTCTGGATTTTAATAGTATCACACAACGAAAGTTTTGTAGAGTAGTTTTCCCAGTGGAGGCTTGTATTTCACTAAATCGGTCCTGAAAGGGTCCGACGTACAAAACGTTAGGAACTTGAAAATAATAGTTAATGACGCAGCAAATATTGTTGTAGTGGATTGATACTTCAATGTCCGACATCGACTGACTCACTCAACTCCACTGAGCCCAACTGGCGACCGCTACTACTACTACTACTACTTATTATGTGTGGGAGAGTCTATTACAATAGAATAGGTAATGTTCCCGTATAACAAAAAGACTATTTTTTTCAGGCTTCCTTTACTCGTTTTATTTTCGAGGAGGGAACTCAGCAGTTATCAGTTCTTGAATTAAGTGAAAAGAGAGTTGGAGAGCGAGAGAGAGAGAGAGAGAGAGATGGACAGCGAGAAAGAGGGAGATATTAAGAGAGAGAAAATGTTGTCGACAGAGCGGTCAGCTACATATCATGACCTTGTGGCTAGTATCCTGGCTGAAACCATGACACTCAATGGTATCTGGCATGGGAAGTCTTGAATGTTTAACAGCGCTCTTGATTTCACTACTACCGCAACCGTACGGATGGTTCTCACGTCTTTGGCTCTAATGTCCACCGGATTCAAAGCACCTCACCGACCAATTCGTGTAGTCAAACCTTTTCCAATGCGGTAGATTTTGACGTTTCTGTCTAGCCTGTTTGTTTTGTAACAAGCGCCCCCAAAAGGCCCATATTTGGGGGACTCATTGCTAGTGTCAACTGCATTCTGGATAATTGCTCTTTAATGGGATCACCTATAGTTGTTAAAATTTATCGTGATTTTGTTTCACAGACATTGTATAAGAAAATTAAGGACATAGTGCAAAACGTTTTCGCATGAGGCCCTTTAGGACTCCATCAGTTTAAAGTAATGTTTACGTTTATGTAACTACTTTGATATTGTATATGCGCCCAATAGAATATTAATTACTTTTTGTTTTTAGTTTTGAAAAGATTGATTACCAACCATGGCGAGATTTTTCTGCTCATATGCTGACAGATATGATTGATTCGTACTTTTCCAAAGTGTATATGTCCAAATTCAAGACGAATCTATTAGATTCACTTATGTGCTAATACCCTTGGGAAAGGTATGATTTCTCTTCTTGTCCCCCCAGCTATAGGTAAATAGCAGAACAGACAAAATTCTGGTCTACCACAGAAAGAAATGAAAACCTACTGCGAGAAAAAAAAAAAAACTGCTTCGAGAGTCATGTATCGAAAGATACATGATCGCCGAAGCGTGTATCACTCATGGCACATAACTGATATGTTCGAAAATGAATGTGATAAATTCGGCATGAACTCGAACTGCCTTCGCTGATTTATCGTTCCGAACCGATTACTTTTATCCCAGCTGTACATCCAACTGAAAGTGTGAAAAACATTTCATTTTAAATAATAATGCTCGGAAACCCAAGAGAAAAGAAGTTAACGACGCAGGAAGTAATAAACTTAAGGTTAGAAATGCGTTCGTACTAAGTCAGGTTGAAACTCATTTAGGCAGATAGTAATTAATAACTTTGCATTCATTAACTAATTTAGGTAATTAGTACTTCAAGATTACTCTAGCAAACCTATTGAGAAATCAGCAATATTCTTCATGAAGCGTGTAGTATTGTGGCCCCAGAAAGGAATGGCTTAACGTCATGGATATATATGAATACGTTTAAATTTATTGATTGAAGTTAAAACTGACAAAACTATGGATTCCTTTTTTACCTACTAAGAAAAGGCCCAACAGTGTTGTTCGAAAGATGTCATAATTGTGAAATACGATATACAAATATCTGATACCTCCGAGTTTAAAAAAACAATCACCAACATGTGAAAATTCTCACCAGAAAATTTGATAGGGCCAACGAATAGTTGTACCTTATATTATATTCGCAGATAAGTTTCGATTAGAGGGATGCCATCAGTCATCATAAAAAGGAAAGATACAAAGAAAAGAGCTTCGTTTATCAAAATAGGTGTAGTAGGATTAAGTGGCTTGACTCAAATGTTTAACACACCTAATGAATTATTTGCTCATGAAAGGTGTTACTGCCTCTGATCTTTCAATTATAAAATTTGCCTCTTATTTAACATGTTCGCCTGAAACTGTTTCGAATGAGCAAGCGAAATAAATTAATAAATAAATAAAAGTGGTAAAAAGTCCTTCTCTATCTCAAACCTACAAACTTCTCTCTCCTTCACTGAGAAGTAGTCGGTCAACAAAAGCAGTCAATTCTGACTATATTCATTGTACGGTTTGACTAAATACAAAGAGATTTCTAACGTGAAAAATTATCTAATTTGATATTCCGTTGAAAAGATGTCTATTTTTGATTTTTAAAGAAGAGGCAGGGATATACGCGTACCAAGTTTAAGAGAGTGGTTCAAAAAAAATCGCGAAAAAGAACGTGTTGACGCAACAGACGCGGTTCCCGTCCGAACGATGGCAATGCGTGTTAGACATTTTCATGACGGTCGTCCTCGAGTATAGGATCCAGAGGTTGGCAGTGAATATTTCGGAGACAGTAGGAAAGCGTAGTGCAGGTTCGCAGTGGATATCGTAGCAGAGCGTAGTTCTTCCTTTGTCGTTTTAGCCTGACAAGTTGGCTCTGGTCATTCCGGTAGGGAAAAACAAAGATGGCCGCATTTATATACGACGGATAGAGTGTTCTGCGGCTTCTGATTGGTTAATCTTCTATTGGTAGATTATAAAGGGAAATAAGTCATTTTGACTCGCTCACTAGTTATATGGATATATACACAAAAAACCGTAACAATGTGTGCCAAAACCAACTTTGGAACTATTACAAAGAATTTGGATGTAGAACGATGCACTTACATATGAATACCCAAGTGCAGTACAACATATTGTGATAAAGCTACAATGATTTAAATGGAGGAGGATGTGAGTAATCATGTCTTGAGTAGCCAGGTAGAAACACAGCAAAACGAGGTAATTAATAATGCTAACACAAAATGACAGAAATATTGGCAGATAGCTTTGAAGAATGAAACATTAAATTAATTGCTACCCCAACCAAGCCACTATAATAAAGCCACTAAGGCGCAAGGGGTTACTGAGTGCAAGGAGGGAAAACAAAAAAGAACAGTGTATTAAGAAAACAGACGGTAACAATTTACATTGCATTTGAACCTTTAAAAGTCAAAATTTGCTGGAAAACAAGAAGCCTAGAAAAATGTTCTACAAGCAAAAGGTGCAATAGATGCTATTTGCATAGAACATATGGTTACATCTAGCCTAGTCATGGATATGACCATAAACTACACCCGGTAGCAAGACCTCTGAAGGTTTTGAGGTTTAATTACTGTTTATCTCAGATCCACCCTGACTCAGATCCACCTATGGTCAAATGGTGACCCCTCCAAACAAAAAGAAAAAAAACAATGAAAATATAAAAAATTATCTTTAAATTAAACTTACCAGCAATACATTTTTTATGCAAACTGGCTAACAATATTTTTCTGTAGTTGAAGGCATATAATTGCGTTGACATTATTTAGATTTCAGCATTAAATAACCCATAGAGGTGTTGATATACCACTAATCAAAATCAACCAACATGAAAAAAGTTTCATGGCGTAAATGTTAAACATTTTGACGGTCGTTTCGAGTATAGAACCCAAAGGTTAGCAGTGAATATTTCGGAGCAAAGTAGCAGAGCGTAGTACTTCCTTCTGTGATCTTCGCCTGACAAGTTGGCACTGGTCATTCGGGTAGGGTAAACAAAAATGGCCGCCTTTATACACGACGGATAGAATGTTCTGCGGCTTCTGATTAGTTAACCTTCTATTGGTAGACTATAAAGGGAGTTAAGTCATTTTGACTGGCTCACTAGTTATATAACATATACACAAAAAACTGTAACATTAAATGCATATAATATTCTACAATTTCGAAATCAAACTGTATTCAAAAGACAGAAAATATACATATCACCATATCTAGTAATTATGTCCATATAAACATGTATATGCACAAAAGCGGAGTATCATCTACCATGTATTCAATTGTGAAAGCAGAA